AGAGGGCTCATAAAAGCTCCGAACTCTCAGTCCAATACTCGGCAGTCCAGGAAGCCTGCGAACGGGCGGAGGGCCACAATCTTCCAGTCCCGGCGTGGAAGCGGCAAGCAACTGCGGCGGACCCCTCTTAAAGGGGTGTCTGACCAGTTCTCCAGGACAAAATAAAGTTCCTTTCACTTCACTTCGCGACAACCTCCTCCACCGACACAATTACAACGGTGACGGCCGCCAGTGGCTACTAGTCATACCCTGCAGTCTGCGCTCTGACATATGCGAATTCTTTCATTCTGATCCGCAATGTGCGCACTCCGGGGTATCAAAGATTTACCACCGCATTTGCCAACGGTACTTTTGGCGCAGCATGTACCGCTATGTGCGGAAATTCGTTCGCTCCTGCATAGATTGTCAGCGCCGCAAAACTTCAACGCACCTGTCGCTGGTAGATCTGTAACCTCTACCTTGCCCTGCCAGGCTGACGGCCCTGCCAACCGCTCGGCCATCGTCGCTGTAGACCACCTTACGCGATACGCCAAAACTGCCTTTCTCCCCGCGGCTACAGCGAGCGATGTGGCCTCCTTCCTGCTCCAAGGATTCATGCTGCGACACGGTCCACCCCAGGAACTACTCAGTGATCAAGGCCACATCTTCCTGTATGAATTCGTCGAAGCCATTCTCAAAGAGTGCAACGTTGTTCACCGCAAAACTGCTGCTTACCAACTGCAGACGACTGGCCTCACCGAACGCTTCAACCGTACGCTCGGCGACATGCTTTCCAAGTACGTCGCCGCCGATCACACAAATTGGGATGCCATTCTACCCTTCGTCCCCTACGCACAATACCACCCCTCAGAGCACTACTGGCTTTTCACCTTTCTTTTTATTATATGAAAGGCACCCGTCGCACACCATCGACACGATACTTTCGTACAAGCCAGATCCATCCGAGTGGGCGCGCCTAATTCTTCTACAGCCAAGTTTGCTGAAGAGTATCGAGAGCTTGCAAAGACCTTTACTGCGCATGATCAAGAGCGGCAAAAAAGTATTCGCGCTGACGCCAGCACTACTGCGCCCACGTTCCTCCCTGGAGCGCTAGTCTGGCTCTCGATCCCTACCATTGCAACTGGCATATCTTCAAAATTATTGCCCAAATACGAAGGCCCCTGCTGTGTCGTCGAACGCACTTCCCCTGTAAACTACTTGATCAAACCCATCGAACCATCTTCGGACATGCGCCGTCGAGGGCGCTACATTGTCAACGTGGAGCGCCTCAAAGCCTACCATGACCCGCTCATAGTAACCAGCTGTTAGTTCGCCAGGCGGCTCCCTTTCCATACCCGGGGTAGTTGTGGCGAAGCCTTCGAACAGTGGGTCGTCCTCTCCAGAGCTTTCTAGTGGGTCGCCTTTTTCGCAAGAAGAGCAGCTCGTGCAGAGAGTCGGTCCCCCATCATCACCGAGTGTCATATATATATATATATATATATATATATATATATATATATATATATATATATATATATATATATATATATATATATATATATATATATATATATATATATATATATATATATATATATATATATATGAGATATGGCACAACGGGAGCGTTGTCAACAAGGATAAATATATTTATTTCCCAACAGTTTCGGGAGGGGTCCTCCCTTCATCAGGGGATGAGTTATACTGACATGAGCTTCCAAACTTCGTTGCTGCCGCGTCCCTCTCGCCTTGAAAAATGTTTGCGAGAGTGAGAGAGAACTAGAAAAAGGAAAAAAAAACAAAAAAGGGGGAGAAAAAGGAAGAAAACAAAGAAAGTAAAAAAGAGGAAGAACCACTGTCAACACTGAGAACGAAGCCAACTGTCCTTCTACATCCACATACGGTTCATATCACGTGCTGTTCAGTTCTTGACGTGTGTCGGGCCACCCAAGATTGTCGCCGCGGTGCCGGGAGGGTCCGTGACGGCGTGCATAAAGAAAGGGGTTTCCCCGTAATGGGTCGGTCGGCGGGCGGCGTGCGTAAAGGAAGGAATTCCCGTTAATGGGTCGGTCGGCTATTTACCTTTAATCTTCGTCCGTTTCCCTTCAATGGTCATCAAGTGGTAGGCGAAGGTAAGCACTTTGTATGTGCATGTGGAAAAAAAAAAAAAGAAAGGACAGTGTACACGTACGAGTCAGTCAGAAAAAAGCATGGTCTCCAGCTATCAATCTTTGTCACCAATTTTCTCCTGGCTTACTTCTCGGAGGCAGTTGAGTTTTCCGGGGTCCTAGTTGATGCCGGCTACTACTGTACGAAATTTGAAAATAAAATATGCCTCACGCTGTTCGCGCTCGCGTCTGTTTGAGAAACCGGACTGCAAAAGAATTACGCTGATATTTTCAAAACTGTGGTTTGGCAGGCACAGATGTCTAGATAAAGGTAGCTTCGGCAGTGAAGTGGCGTGGTACCGGTGATTATTGAACCGCAGCCGAAATGGCGTGTTTGTTTGGCCGATATATTCTTGTCCGCAGATGTTGCAATGTAGCATGTATATTACGTTACTGGAGTCACAATTAAGGCTTTCAGTCATGCAGACTTTGAAATCTGAGAAGTTCGCTTTGGATTCACGTGTTGTGACCATCTGTGGGCATACCTTGCATCGAGCTTTTCCGCAGGGATGGCACCCTGATTGAATTTTGGGGGTGTTTGTTTTTGCTCTGACAAGAATGTCACGTACACGGACAGTTGGTTTCGTTCTCATTGTTGACAGTGGTTCTTTCTCTTTTTTACTTTCTTTTTATATCCTAGTTTTAGCGTGACTTCCTGTATCTTATGCTCACTACCTTTGTTATAATTATCATGATTGCCGATCTTTCCCTACTGAACTTCAAATTTAACCTATCTCCCTCATTACCACAGATGTCTATCAATCCCTGCAGATCTTTGCTGTTGTCGGCTATTATTACTATATATTCTGCATACATAAATGCTGGTAATGAATGTTCAACGAGTTTTCCTTGCTTGGCAAAAGAGAAGCTGAAGCCGAGTTGACTCCCCTCTAATTTGGCTTCTAGTCCCTGTAGACAGCATAAATAACAAAGGTGACAAGAGACATCCCTGTCGAAGTCCACGTTGTATCTATATATAGAGGTTTGTATACCTGTTCTTCCCATTATATAACTACCTTGTTACTTTTACAGATATCCTTTAGAAGATTAGTTATTCCACCTACAGTACGTCCAGCATTCCCCAAAAGTCTTCTTCAATCACACTATCGTAAGCTCGCTTAGCCACAGGGGCCTGCATTCTTTTTTGCTATTTGAATACACTGCCTCAATAAACAGATTGTCCCCCAACCTCCTTCGTTTACGGAACCAATTTTGTAGTTTTCCCAGAACCCCCTCATTTTCCACTCATGTCTGTAGCCTTTCCTTTACTATCTGCATCACCAGCCTGTAAACCATTGATGTCACCGTTATAAGACGGTAGTTGTTCATATCAGCTTTGGCCCCCTGTACTTTATAGATCATGCTCATCCTGCTTAGTTTCCACCCACTCGGGGCTTCACCATTCATTACTGCTTTGCTCGGTGCCTCTCTTAGTGTTCGCTTAGAGTTTGGTCCTAGTTTATTAGCATGATTGGGATGCCGTCAGGGCCTGTTAATGTGCTATTAGGAACCCTCATTTGCCCTTTCTCACTCTCGGTGTCCCAGTGGAGACACTGTGCTAATTGGCCCATCCTAATTCAGTATGGTGCATGCAGCACTTACATAGTGTTTAAAATTTTCTGTCATCATTGTTGTTATATATTCCATTGCCTCCTTCCTTTTTAAAAAAGCCTAATCCCTTGAACTGTAGTTATAAACTTCTGTTCCATGCTTGTATTATTACTCAGAAAATTGAGATGGTTCCAAAACTTTGCAGCTGCCTTTCTATCCTTTTTGTTTACTTTTGCCATCCATAGGGCCCCCTTTCTTCTAATCTTTTCTCTGGTCAGATTGGATGCTTCCCTTCTGAACTCAAAAAGTTATCCCATTTTCTTTCGATATCACCTTCCGGTTCATCCCTCTGGTTAGCATACCTGTGTTCCCTGGAGGCTTCCAGACGTCTTACTATGACACTTTCTGGAAGAGGGCTTGAGTTGCTCTTCGGACACCGAACTTTGCTCATAAGTCCAAACGCGTATCATCTTTTTAAAGTACTTTTAGACGATATAGCACGTCGAACAGTACCCGTTCGTATAGTACAACCAACAAATTGCCCTCTTTTCATTGGGAAGCCACTCTGTGCGAGAGCCTTCACTGACCGACTCCATCGGGATTGCTTAGTTCGGTAAGGTAAACTAGTGCCTTGCTTGCTTGAAACCTCCTTAAGGGTAAAAAGGTCTACAGTATAGTGCATCAGACAGTGGCTGATACTGCAGGAACCACGCTTGACTTCATTCCTTCCAATACACTGCACACTTATTCAAAAAGCATGCTTCTGACATCAGAGAAGCTTGAATGCGTGTTATCTTATAGCCCTCCACTGAGCTGGAGCGCTAGTTCACTATTTTGGGTGGGCCTTGTGAAGTGGTGGCAATTATAGTCAATTAATGATACTAGCATTAGTTATACATTAACTATTACTATGCATCATTTTTGTTTGAGATTTTCGATTGCGCATTGTACGTTTATTTATTTTGTACCCTGCCACTCCTGCTTGGGCCACATGGGCTACATTACGTTGTAAATAAATTAAAAAAAATAGCATTTCAGATTTATTGGACACAGTGAAATAGCATCAAACTGCTACAATTGCACTGACAGCTGAAATTTCAGTTATAAAAGGCATACACTGCAGTAAAACCTGACTACATCGAACTAGGATAAATCAAAGCAGCCTATTTCATGATGCTAAAGCGCATGGGCCTTTCCCTTAGTGGAAAAGTCTCGAAACATCTCCACCCTGAGGCCTTACTTCTGGCAATATTGGTTCTCCTGGTCCCTACCAAGACGGCAAAGAGCAGCACAGGAAAATGTAAGAGGTGGATTATTTTTTATATAGAACTATTTTAGAAGATGGCAACACTTTAAGGTCATTTCGTAAAAACACCTACGGGACATCATACAAAAATAGTAGGGACATTCCACACATTAAACAGCCTGAAACGCTTCAAGCAGTTGACCTTCCTTGCAAAAAAATTGGCTTTTTCTCTCCACAAAGGATGTCTTTCTGCACGCATTTGTAAGTGGAGTTCAGGCTCCCGATGAGTACACGCAACTGCATATAAACATAGTGACGTGCTGTTTGTCTCAATGATGTATCTTCTCCCGCATAATTGCTCCTGCATGCAACTTGAACTCAACTTAAGCAAGATAAACCAACAAAAAACCCCACAAACTGCTACGAAAGCGGCTATATTACTTTTTTGTGAAACAGTGCCACCAAGCCAACTTCTACACTGAGGTTTGGATCAAAAATATAATAGATATTTAAAAGCTGTATACTTATTTCTATGATATATCAAAGTGATTTGTTTTGTTTTTTAAGTTCAATATATGCAGTTTTGATTTTATTTAATTCAATATATTCTTTATTCATCGTTAATACAAAAGGACGTCCAAGAATTCCAAATCTGTCAGGAGGACCTCCTATTAGTCATTTGTCAATATTGATAAACATCAATATTGACATCCGCTAACCTCTCTGTTCTTCCTCATTTATTCCTCCTCTTCCTCCTTGATAATCATCATTTGATGGCAAAGAGCAGTTAAATAACAAAAAAAAAAAGTGGGCAAATAATATAGCACGGCATATAGAAAGGAAAATAATGGAAAGAACCAACTAAAAAGGTATGTGTTTACATTAAAAGTAATTTACAAACAAATGTAATACAGAACTCATCCTAAATGACAAAAATTGTAATCAATATAATTTATATAAACCTAAGGTTTAGAAGCACAGAAGTTCCGGCGAGTTTGTACTGATCTATTGTAGTATTAAAGGGACACTGAAGAGGAACATTGGCTTGGTTTAGATTGACAAACTGTACTCCAAGAAGTCTAATGCAATATGTATCGCATTGATGAGTTCATTATAAGCAGAGAAAATCAAGGTATAGGTTTCATTTTAAAACTTCGCGCAAAATCACCGTGCGTAACCTAGGAAATTTCTAAATGTGGTTACTGTATTTTCTTGGCATTGGTTCGATAAAATTTTGTGAAACGTGTGCTAAGCCTGTGACAACCACAGATTACAATGTACTTCATTTTCATCGATTGGAAGCTACGCAGGATTTAGTAGATGCCTTCAGAATTTCTTTTGTCAAGGTGTTTGATGTGGGAATCTCGAGGTGGCGTCGCCACCCCACATTTTCTCTTAACACGTTTTCTCGCTCAGTAAGCGTTGTGTCGTGCTAAGAGTGGTAATTTTGGCATTATGAAATTGCACTATAATAATACATGAAAAATTGCTCTTTAGTGTCCCTTTAAGAGCGCGTAGACAAGTTACAAGAGAGACTGTGCTTTTATGTTTGTCACTGCAAGAGGATGTGCCGAGCACTTAATGCAGAGTATTGGTATCAGGCACGACTGTTCAAGGATTGTTTATGCGTCGAGAAACTTCTGTGAGCAACCAGGCAACAGAATGACTTTGGCATCAGACATGCCCTTTTTTGCCTTCAAACACAAAAAAGTCAGGTACAGCATAGAGTAGTGTGCTGAATTTTAGCAACCATAATATCTGGGATTCTATGTCCCAAAACCAAGATATGATTATCAGAGATGCCGTAGCATAGGGCTCCGGAACTTTTGACCATCTGGTGTTCTTTAACGTGCACTGACATCGCACAGTTCGCAGGCCTCGACCATTTCGCTTCCATCGAAATGCAGCCACTGCGGCCAGGTACGAACTCGCAACCTTTAGGTCAGCAGCCGAGCACTCTAACCATTGCTTCTTCGTGGAGGATAATTTTAGCGAATTCCTCTAGAAGAAGAATGCTTGCTTTGTCCTGGTCCCAAATTCTGTCCCGTGCCACAGTTACTGCCAGTAGAGTTGCTAATGCTGTTAAAGACAATAGCGGCCCCAGCGTGTGAAGATTCCAGGTCGGTGTGCTGCGAGAGCGCATCAACGCCTTGTCAAAGCTGGCTCGACCGTCATCCTGCAAAAAGAGCACCAGATCAGTCATCAACTTTCTTGCTACTTCTGACCTCATGGTAGTTTTGTCTGACAAAAGAGGTTTCTTTATTGTTATGTGTAGTGACACGTATCCCGAAGGAGTAACGGCCACTAACGTGGGTCCGGTCTTAGCGAGCCACAGGGCACGCGTTAACCGTCGCCGTGGCGAGAACACGATACTGCTCAAAGTCGCAACACTTTATTGTCTGTGGCAACACCAAAACGCAGTACAGCCCGTTGCAAAGGCGCGGCGCAAAAGCAAATGGGCTTACCTACGCCACAGGCATAAAAGTACAACACAGGGTGCCACGAGCACGTCTCCGTGGTAAAGGTGATCCACGGAGACACCAGGACCAAGGCCCGGTTGCTCGAGCGAGGGCAAAGGCACTCGTGTTGGCTTCGAAGGGAGACGGGTTGGCGTAGCTAGGCCACGCACTAGGACACCGTACCACCCTTCGGCCTAGCATTCGGAGGGGGGGGGGGGGGGGGCGACATAAGGTAAGCGTTTGCCGCGGGCGCAAGGCACTCTTGGCGAAGTCCGAACGAGCCCCACAGGGAGCTGACGGAGGGAAAAGCGTGCTTACCCCCATGTCGTCCCTGGAGAGGCCTCCCAGCCCGCTCCCGACACAGCGCGCAAAAACCTCCCGGGAGACTCCACGCGCGGCGCCATAGTCAACATCCGCTACAGGGTGAGGGGATTAAACGTCACTTTGCTCCCCCAGCGCGGCAGACAGCGGAGGAGGGGAGACATGTCGGGACATGAGAACGAAGAAATCGGCGACAAAGCCCGCGCAAAGGCAGCGGACCGGCCTCAATTCCCACATATGACAGAAGGAATGTCCTTAGAGAAGAGAACAGCAGCTATGAACAAGAACATCAAACGAGTGCCTTTGAAGCAGGCGAAAGTAAAAGCTAGTGCTGCTGACCTATTAAACAAGTTCTTGCTTCAGAAACTAGCAAGTGAAGTGAAGGTTAGCAAGGGGATACTGATGAATGTGTTTATCACTGCTAAGATGCAAAAAAAAAGGAGCACTCGTCTGTGTAATCCGTCATGTTATGTGATCTTAATACCACTATAAACCTAAGGCTTTATCAAAGAACACGGTGTAGATTTAATAGAATAATAAATAACACATGCTTGCAACATGTCTTTTATAAAGAATTACAGTTGATGGGTTGAATAGTATGAATAATTACCACTAACTAAGACATGATTGCTGTGGCTTAGCATTCCCAAACCACGATATGACTATGAGGGATGCTGTAAATAGAGGTGGGCTCCGGAAATTCGGACCATCTTGGGTTCTTTAACATGCACCTAAAGCCAAGTACACAGGCTTCGGACATTTTCGCCTCTATCAAAAATGTGGTCGGGATTTGATCCTGCAACCTTTAGGCCCACTAATAAGACAAAACTGAAGAATGTATTACCAGACCAAATAGCTACTTCTAGCAGACATAGGTATAATAACACTGATCATAAGCATCCACTATAAAAAGGGATGGGGGAGGGTGGAGGGGCAGTAAACCAATGCGGGATTTCTGTGGAAGGGAATGCCTGTGTAATAAAATCGGGGCTGCGCATAGGACGGAAAGCGGTGCCAGCTCTCCGCAACATTTTCCTGGACGAGCTTGACAAGACAATTGAATAGAAAGCCATCTGAACTCAGGCTCTTGTATAATGTATTCAGGCACTTTGTTGAGTTGATCATTTCAGGGTTGGAAGTGGACTTCAGTGTTTTGGAGCAACTGATTGATTGATATGTGGGGTTTAACGTCCCAAAACCACCATATGATTATGAGAGACGCCGTAGTGGAGGGCTCCGGAAATTTCGACCACCTGGGGTTCTTTAACATGCACCCAAATCTGAGTACACGGGCCTACAACATTTCCGCCTCCATCGGAAATGCAGCCGCCGCAGCCGGGATTTGAACCCGCGACCTGCGGGTCAGCAGCCGAGTGCCTTAGCCACTAGACCACCGCAGTGGGGCTGTTTTGGGGCAACTACAAAAACAAGTATAATGCTATTTTGAAGCAGCTTCGGAACAGTAAAAGGGGATTTTTAGAGCAGGTGTGGAGCCCGAAAAGGTGTGTTTTAGAGCAATGCGAGTTAGTTTTGGAGCAGCATTCTAGGGTCAAACATCATCACCAATCAAAATTATCTCTGTTAAAAAAAAATTCCTATGCTTTTCACTAAACTTTCAGTACTAATGAGCTTACCAGACTTACCACCTGAAAATTTGAGTGTGTGTATGCATGTGTGTTGGTGCAAGTGTGTGCGTGTGATACAAAACATGCCCATTTCATACTCAGCCTGAAACGAAAAAAAAAAATACATTCTATGTGGCAAAAAGATGGAACTATTTCTTTATGTGAACTTGTCTACTGCAAGGAATCTCGCTAGCCTCCGCAGAATTACACCCGATCTGTGAAACTGAGTAGAAATAATTGCGACGCACGTCACTTGGTGGAAGTTTATTTGCCATGCTAATTAAACACACTAACTACTCTGGTCATCTGTGCTCGGTCTGGAGCAAAGTGGGGTCGAGCAATCCACACAGAAAATTCGTGCACGTGGTACAGAACGCCGCCTGGCAGCAATGGCATAGGCAGCATAGGCCCCGTGCTGCATGCCATTGCTGCAAATGCACGGTTTTTCAATGAGACTGTCAGTTGTCGCTTAGTATTACACCATGGTGGAGAAGCGCACTTATTATCACGGAAGGCCGATAGTGTCCGATCTGTTATTTCAATCGCTGTGTATCTTGGACCCTGTAGTAGTTTCAAACTGCTCCTAGGCATCGCCACTGCGCACTATAAAACAATTGTGTGAGAGTGCCAGTACATTTTCTGCACTCTGCAAAAAAGAAAGAAAAGACTTTCTGGAGAGAAATTGGGACAACTTCTACTATGTTACTGTGTTTATGGTGGCGATAGGACATGTCAAGAGATGATGCATATTTGCACTTGTAAGTGCGCACTGCCTTTTAGTGCATGATCGTGCCACGTTTCCAGCTGGTACAAATTATCGAGGTTTCACTGTATTACTAGATAATGAAGTTATTCATGTTAGTGCCACCACTTTTGCGGGGCAAGCACAGCGATAAGAGCAATGAGGCGAGCGCTAGCAAGCCCCAAGAATAAACAGAGTTACAACACGATTGAATCCCACTGGATATGAATGCCGTCGTGTCCTTAGTGTAGCTAACACTCATTATTGCTCAGACGACAATAATCACTGACTACATTTAAAGGTTTTCACTTCCAATCGACAAATATTGCGAGAATCGCTGTTTATCCGCAGCCTGGCGCAGCAGGTCAGATTAGCGCAAAATGACACAATCAGCACAGCACTTCCACCTCTGTCATTTCTGTAGAAAAGAGCAACTTTGATATCAATACAATAAACATTCTCAAAACCTGTTAGGACAAAGGACTTAGCCTGAAATGCACATGTGAAATGCCATTGCAAAGTATGTTACACTTTTTGGATTTAAGGTTGGGATTCGGTGATGAACAAACCTGTTGAAATAGTGCTCTCATACACTGAAACCCTAGCAATCCTTCGGTTAACCCACTAAGATCATAAAAAATACCATTGCCTTTTCAGCCCTCAGATCTTCGATAACCAAATCATATGACCAAAGGATGGCGTAAAACGTTAAGGTACAGATGTTTAGGATAAAAAAAGAAAGTTATCAGGGGAGTGTGATATTGTTGGTCTGTGAGAAGCCTATGCAAGAATTAAATTGTACATTGAAGGGTAAGAAAATCAGGGGACCCTTAAGCTTTTGCTTTAAGAGTTGACTGCGATAGCAATATCCTGTCCCTAGTGCGTATTTAACCCTTAGTGCATGAAACCTTTTCAAAATTGCTATGCAACCATTATGAGGGCTAAAGAGATAATAATAATTGTTGGGGTTTAACGTCCCAAAGCCACCATATGATCATGAGAGACGCTGCAGTGGAGGGCTAGGAAAATTTCGACCAACTTGGGTTTTGTAACATGCACCTAAATTTAAGCACACAGACCTTAAGCATTTTTGCCTCCATCGAAAATGCGGCTGCCGCGGCCGGGATTAGATATCGCTACTTACGGGTCAGCAGGACCGTAAAAGAATAGGAGCAGTAACGTGTGTGTCTTTTGTAGTAGGGTGAAACCACTAAGTCATTATGATAATCACAAGTTCTGATACCAGCTGGATATGTACGCTTATACCACTCATTATTACTGCAATATTTCATGTTGTACTGTGAAGTATGTATAGAGGATGCGTGTGTTTGTAAAGCATAAAAGTTACTTTCACCACATTTCCATTTCCAAGCAAGGAAGTTTTCCCTGTATTCACAAGCAGATGGGTGGCTGTGAGATAGGACACCTGCTTGCCATGCAAGTGACCCTGGTTCGATCCCAACTCAGACCCAGGATTCTTTATTATTTATTTTATTTGCATCATTTTCAATTTTTCAGTTACGCACAAAATGATTTTTCGCTTACAACCAATGATGCCGACACCAACCTATACGCCTGAATTTCTGCGAAACGAGCTCTTTACAATGCTATCACATTAAAAACACAGCATGAGCAAAGGAAAAGGAACAAAAGCTACTATGCCATACAAGTTAAAAAAGGTGAGGTTACGGCATGGTGTGAATTTTTCAGCTAAAAGAAAAAGCAGCTGCTGTATCCCCAGTGGAGAGTAAACCCAAACAAAAAGGTTGACACTGTTAAAGGTCATGTTTCGTAAAACACACTAATGTGTTTGTGTCCTACAACATTCATGTCTTGTACAGTCTCCTCCTGACCTATGGTTGTGTGTACATTGTTTAATAAGGGAGGTGTGCGACCACGCACCTTAGGGAGAACCAAAATGCCTTGAAGGGCAATGCATTGTCGAGAATGTATGTGCACTGTAGGATTTGCTCAAAGATTATTTTATGCCACCAGACCAATTGGTGCACGAATTTTTGAGGCCTACAAAATACAACATGAAGGCTATAAGTGTGTTAGTCTGCCTTTGGACACCCTCCAGGATAAACAAATTTCCTCTTTATACAACGCACATCGCTGACAGCCAAGCATTAAGATCAGTTATCTCGTAAAACTTAGCAGGAGTGATGATCACAAGTTGTTTGTAGCATTCATTGTACAAGCATTTCAACACGTTCTGTCAATAAAATCTCAAGTTGAAAAAAAAAGGGCTTGTGTTGTGTCCACTTCTCCTCAGCTTTCTTTAAACCTCATTTTATCTGCACTATTGGATTACATTCAACCGTGTCACATTTCATGCCATGTTGTTGTGATGGTCAAGGTCCGACACTTTTCCTATACATGATTCCTAAATTATGCAGATTCAGAGTTAATTCTAAGCAGTATACAGACAGAAAAATATTGAACTCTTGCTCTACGATTAAGAGAATGTCTGCAGCTTGTAAATGTTCCCCAGAAATGCAACAACAACTTGAAGACACACTGATGCGTAATTGATGGGCGCAGAGAGATCAGGGAAGTGGAGATTAGTATTATGTTTTAGATGACTGGCGTCGTACACTTCTTTTTAGTTTATCACACAGGACTGTCTTTTGTGCCTTTGTTTTACAACACAATATTAATGTGCAATTTACAACAAGAGTTATAAATTTACAGCCTCAGTCCAAAATAGGCAAATATTCTAACGTAGTAACTAAGCAGATTCCCAAGCTGATGCATACACAAAGTCTCATGGGCACAATCATGTTGAGACAGGACTGCGGCAAGTGAATCTTCAAACGTGCAAAACAGTAGCACGAGTTTTCTGCTCCTTCAAAGAATCTTTTTTTGCACCTAGCCATGCTAAATAATAAAAAAATCCTTACAATCGACAAGTAACAATTAGAAGATGTTTGCTCTAGTCAAGAATAGCCAGCATGAATTGCAAATCCACATAGCTACATACAGCTTAGCCCAGAAATATGGAAATTTAGAGCACCACGCACACATGCACAGAACTGAGAAAAAAAGGGAGGTGGGATGAGAATGAACAGGAGTGTACATACGAGTGTTTACTTCTTGATGGAGCACTTTGCTGCAAAGTTCCACAATTCATCAGCAACATCACATGGGTCCTTGCCACCTGTGATAATGTGGTACGGTATCAACTTCTCACCGTCCTTGTAAGCTGAGGGAGAGAGAAGAATAGAATTCAAAAGCTTATTATTGAGTGAACTTATCAATCACCTCAGCATATAGCAACTCACGCCATGGTGCTATAACTTATCAGGTGCAGTGCCTACTAGAGCGAAATTTCTAGTATCTTATATTGGAAAACAAAACAGCCCAAAAGACTGAGCACTGACAAAATGGGAGACACATTTTTTAAAGAAATATACTACTTTTTTAGTTCACAGGAAGTATTTCAAAAAGAAGACAAATAGGACAGAGCGCCGCAATGACTTGCCGAAAGAGGAAGCACGGAAGAACGAGGGACTTGGACGTCCCGACATTTGAACGCACTTGCGGCCAGGCCCTTGCTGGCTTCGTTCTTCCGCCTCGAGTAGGCTCGTACGCGGCTCCGGCGCCGAAAGTGGTCCTTGGCACCGACTTCGGTGGACGTGGGAAGTGCCGCGCAAGTACGGTGCGCCTGGCCCCACCTGTTGGCTAAAGTAGGCAGCCGGATCGGCATTTTGGTGTGCGGTGGCAAACCGTGGATGCGAAAAAAGCTTGTGCAATTTCGTGGAACAAAAAGCGGGGGTCCCCCTTTTTTGCGGAGGAGACCGACTCGCCCGTGGTGAATCGCGACGCCACGGTAAAAACGGGAGAGGCTTGTCGATGGGACCGTGCATCCCGCGCTCCACGGAGCCGGGAGGCGGCCGCCCGAGGAAGTGTGTAGCCGTCGAGGCCCGAATCTGCGTGCACTCTTATCCAAATGGGTGTACCGCAGGCATTTTCTGGTTAGGCGGGCCAATGAGAGCGAGCACACAACGATACCTACGGGTCCGGCTTGGAGAACCGGCTTCGACGCCTCCCGAGTATTTATAGAGGGACGACCACGAAAGCACTCGCAAGTAGCGGAAGCGAAACGCCGTCCGAAACACACCGTTTGCTCGATTTGCGGCAGCCGAAAAGGCGCGGCAGAGTGCACTCCTCTATCTGGAGTGCACTCTGTCCTGTCAAGTGCACTGTCCTATCTGTCTTATTTTCCAAACATTTCCTGCGCAATAAAAAAGTATATTTCTTACAAAAATGCAATGCCAACCAGGTCAAGTAGCCACTTTTTGGGAGACACAAACAACAGCACTGAACTTACAACAAAGTTTCTTCATGAAGACCGCATACTATATACTTATTTGCATAGATCTTCACGAAAGAAAAATAAAACAATGATAAAGAATGATAAAAGAAAACAAGATTTGATATCCCCCCTTTGTGTCCCCCCTTATTTCAGTGCCGTCTTACATGCAGTGTTTTTCCCCGAGATGCACCAACACGCCCAAGCATCTTCTTCAGCTGCATTTACTTCTTGTATCCCACTCTTTGCAATGCTCAGACCCATTTCAACATCACAACATAAAAGTTATGCACTGTTTGGGAAACACTATTTATTGACATTAAGAATATTGCCAAAGAATACATTACGGTGTAATGTCATTGGAGGAAATACAAAAAAAAGTATGCCATGTAAAAGCAAGAAAGTTTCACAATGCCTGCTTGTCCAAGAGCCACATGAGCTAAAGTATGTTATTTACTGCAGTGTGCACATAATTTAGGGCTAGCCATAATGCATCAAACTCGTACTGAACTTCAAAGATCTTATTTTTGGATGAATGTGGTGCCAATCTTTATGTGTGATACACATAACCAATATAGTATCTTGCTTGGGCATCCATCGTTACATTACACCACGACCTTACACTATCACATCAGTCCAATCACAGTTGCAATTCATTCACTACAAACAATAACTAACTCATTACAGTGAAAGCTGTTATGAGATCACAACTCGCGTCACGTGTGGCGCCGTAGTTGTCCGCCGCCGCTGCTGGTGTCCGTAGCCACTATGGCACGAAGAAAAAAAAAAAAAAAACTTGGCAAGTAAAATACACCAAGGTCACAGCGGGGCGCGAACCCGGGTCCGCTGCGTTCCAGCCCAGTATTCTACCACTGAGCTACGCCGGTGCTTGGGACTTGTTCGCAAACTTGCCTTAGGCAAGCTTCTTGTTGTGAAAAGAACTGTGTTAATATGAGTCATGAAGGCTTTTAGAACATCAACGGAACAACCGGGTGCCACACAATGCGAATAGCATAACGATTGGGTCGTCCAATACTCCGACTCATTACAAAAGCTTGTTCTTTATCACCTATAAGCTGTGGCACATACCCACTTCAGGCATAATTCCTCGTCTGCAGCCACTGCATGAACATATGGCACAGTGGCGTATCAACTCTTTCGCAAGTGGGGGGCAGACCTACCTCAGCTCGTCAGCTGTGTGTGTGTGTGTGTGTGTGTGTGTGTGTGTGTGTGTGTGTGTGTGTGTGTGTGTGTGTGTGTGTGTATATATATATATATATATATATATATATATATATATATATATATATATATATATATATATATATATATATATATAGTGGGAAAAAATATTACTAGAAGCGTCCTTGCAACTGACTCGGGTCATTGCGGACCATTGTGAGCGTAAGGCCGCCGAACACAGTGTCACGGAGGCCACGCAGAAATTGGTATCTAATCTCGGAGAGCATGAGGCAAGAGAACTGGAAAGATATGAACTAAAGAAGAGAGGCGAAATTTCAGTGGTAAAAGATAGAAAATTCAAGCGGGATTGCAGTAGCTCCACTGCTCTGCAACAGGAAAATAGGAATGAGGCCGTACAAGAACACCAGGGACCACCCGTACCTCAACCTAACTTTGAGGAGAAAATGGGAACTCAGAACCACAGTGCAATCCTAATCAAAACATCCTTACTCTCGAATATGACGCTGACACTCCCGTGCCACGTGATAGCCAAGAGCAGCCGAAAACTTATGAGGAAAATGTACTCAATCTGTCAAACACAACACTCACACCCGCTCAGCTTCAACTTTTGTCGAGAGGCTTGACCTTTTGTCCATCATCCGGTAAATTCAATGAATTTGAACTGTACCAAGACCTCGATAACTTTGCGCGTAATCTCCGCCTCCGTGAATACTTTCATGATCGCAAGGACTGTACGAACGAGAATAGAGTGATTGGTGGTGACAGATCATGGTGTCCGGGTGAGCAGAGGGACAAACACCTCGATATGTATATATCAGCAGTTCAAAAAGATATCATCAGAGCGTATGGAAAAAATCGGCCATTTCGAAACAACATATCAAAGTCAGAACGAAGGGCACTCGATGAACTACGAAAAAAACACTGGAATTACTATCAAACCGGCTGATAAAGGAGGCTGCATAGTAATTCTAAATACGTCGGACTACTTAAAGGAAGGGGAACGACAGCTATCAGACACAAAATTCTACAAAGAACTTCCAACGAACCCGACTCCCAAATTTGAAAGGGAGATAAAAGTAACCCTAAACAATCTCCGCCGGGACGAGAAAATTACCGGCAAAATGTTAAAAGCAATGTTACCGGCCCACTCTGTTCCCGGTCGATTCTATTTACTCCCCAAAATACACAAGGCAGGTAATCCGGGACGTCCGATAGTATCCAGTAACAGCACATCAACAGAAAATATATCAGAATTCATCAATTCCTTAATAAAAAACATCCCCCCAAATTTTCCCTATTACCTAAAGGACACAAACCACTTCATCTGCGAAACTTCAAGTCTCGACATCCCAGGCGGCAGTTTTCTGGTGACCATGGACGTCTGCTCACTGTACACCAACATACCCCACCATGACGGAATAGCGGCTATGGTTTCTGAATATGTAAAATCTGACTCATCAACTAGTGTAAGTGGCGAGGTACTGTTTACACTTCTTGAACTTGTACTAAATTATAACCATTTTGAGTTCAACGGCAAGCATTTCCTTCAGGTCAGTGGCACTGCAATGGGCACGAAAATGGCCCCAAACTTCGCGAGCACCTTTATGGCTTCACTTGAAATCCCATTCATTGAGGGACGCACCTTGAAACCTTTCTACTACAGAAGATACTTAGACGATATTTTTATGATATGGAACCATGATGAGGGAAGTCTTTTCCGCTTCATAGAGGATTTTAACAAATGCCACCCGTCAATAAAATTCACGCACAAAATTTCCAAAACTAGCATTAACTTTTTGGACGTTACTGTCACGGTCGAAAATGACCGCTTGTCAACAAACCTTTACAAAAGCCTACAGACCGTCAAATGTACCTACATTTCAACAGCAGCCACCCAAAGCATTGCAAAACGGGTATTCCATATTCTCAGGCCTACCGGTACCGAAGAATATGCACCGATATGCGGGAATTTGACAGACACGCGGAACACCTAAAGCATTCCTTATTGAAACAAAATTATCCGGAAGACATTATTGACGATGCCATACTACGTGCTCGCACGTGAACAGGAATGATATAATTAAGGGACCAAACAAAGTACCTAAAACGACTTCCCAAACGAACCTTGTACTAACTTACTCCTCATCAGCGCCACGAATCAACAACATACTTTCCCGCCATTTCAACATAATCAGGCAAAGCGAACGACTAACTTCTATTTTCGCGAAGCCACCTCACGTGGTGTACCGCCGGGATAAAAATCTGAAGGACATTCTTGTCAGGGCAAAAACAAACACCCCCAAAATTCAATCAGGGTGCCATCCCTGCGGAAAATCTCGATGCAAGGTATGCCCACAGATGCTCACAACACGTGAATCCAAAGCGAACTTCTCGGATTTCAAATTCTGCATAACTGAAAGCCTTAATTGTGACTCCAGTAACGTAATATACATGCTACATTGCAACATCTGCGGACAAGAATATATCGGCCAAACAGACACGCCATTTCGGCTGCGGTTCAATAATCACCGGTACCACGCCACTTCACTGCCGAAGCTACCTTTATCTAGACATCTGCGCCTGCCAAACCACAGTTTTAAAAATATTAGCGTAACTCTTTTGCAGTCCGGTTTTTCAAACAGACGCGAGCGCGAACAGCGTGAGGCATATTTTATTTTCAAATTTCG